ACAGCTGCTGCTGCCTGTGTGAAAGGCACCGAGCGGCCCCACGGTGTCTGCTGGGGACAGACGGATGCACGTGACGAGGGACGTTAGGAGGAGCTGCATGAGGTATGGCTGCTGGCTGACCTCCCTTCCTGCCGTGGGGCCAGCGAGGACTCTTGGTCACTTCTTTTGAGATTGAGGAATGGAGGGAACTCAGGAGAAGGTTGGGATTGAGGTATCCCAACAGCATCCCCCGTGCCCTGTGCCAGGTAATTCTCTGATCCCTGGCACTGCCTGGTATGGAGGGGCGCAAATGTGAGGAAGCTGCCCAAAAAGGAACAGAGTTGGGGATTTTGCTGGAGATGAACAGGACCTGGCCTGGGCATGGGCACCTCACGCACCCTTCTCTGGGGCACTTTCCCAGGCACAGGGGACAAACTCACCGGCACGTAGCTGTACAGGGTGCCCAGCAGATGCTTGGGGGCACTGACCAGGGTTCCCCCAAGAGCATCCACAGTCTCCATGGCCTTGGAAAGCCTGCGGGGGGTGAACAGGATCAAACCCTCCGCCGCATCCCAGGCTACCGCGGGGACCTTCTTCACACTGGAGATGCCAGAAACGTAGGCAGTTTGCAGGTTTTGAGCCATGCTGCCCACCAGCCCGGGACCGTCCCCTGCCTGCAAAGAGAAAGGAGCTCAGACACTCTGCTTAATGTCCGCTACAGCCCAGGTGGAACAAACACAGCCCTGTGCTCTCTGCGTCCCCCGCAGCCCCTCAGCAGCTTGAGCTGACCATATAGGATCGCTGTCCTTGGCTTTGCAAGAGCTACTGCAGCCTTCACCCTGAGGTTGTTCCCTGTCCCCCCGCCTCGGTCCCCGCCTCGCAGGCTCCATGGACGGGGCTGCACGTCCCCGCGCTGCGTTTCCGCTGTGCAGCCTCTCCCAGGCGCACAGGGAGGCAGAGGCGCAGGGCCCTGACCTCCAGCCCGCGGCTTCCCGCCTCCGCTCCCGCGTCTGCCGGGCTCTGTGCTGCAGCAGGCGCTGCTGATTTAGGGAACCTGGGCATCTCCATCCTGCCTCACACAGAGGCTGTCGACAGCCCCCAGCTGTGCAGCAGGTCTTTTTCCAGGTGCTCTGTCCCACTGACTCAGTCCTGTGACTTGTGCTCCCCCCTGGAATGGAGTCGAGGGGGTAGTAAAGCTGTTTGGCTTCTCCCTTGGACAACAGAGAGAGGGAAGGTGACTGGGCTGACACGCAGCCAGGAGTAGCTCTGGCAGGAATGGGGCTGTGGGATTCATGTCCAGCTCTGAGCCTCATCTCCTCCTGGCATACAGTGGTGTGAGCCTGGTCCCCAAGGCCACGTGGGGTCCCAGTCCCTGTTACAGGCTTGGGAGGGCGCTTTGGGCAAGCCCCCAGCTCAGCAGCACCAGGCCGGCCATGCAGGTTGCTGCTCTGCTCCGTACCTCATTGGTGACGTTTTCCTCTCTCTTCTCCTCCGCTTTCTCCTGCTTCTGCGCCGGCACCGGCACCGTGCTCTGCCTGCGGCTCAGGCAGCCGGCCGGAGCCCCGTGCCCCTGGGAGCTGCCACGCTGCGCCGGGGCCGCGCGCGGCTTCACCAAGCTGCCCTGCAACGGGAGCCGAGAGCCAGCGCTGACGCCCCCGGGCACGCTGCTTCCCCAGGGCCTCAGGACCATCCTGGCACCTTCCTGCTTCAGCGTGGCCCTGCAGCCACCAGGTGAGCCCATGGCAGCAGCCAAGCGTGTTCGGGCTCCGAGGGTGGAGCTGCCCCAGTGCTCACCATGGGTTACGCTCAAGGACCCCGTGTGTGGCACCCCGGGGGTAAACCCCACTGCCACTGCAATGCCAATGCATGTGCCACCCTGGCACGCTGCCGGGGAGCCCAGCAGGAGGACGCACCTCCTCACAGCCCGTCTGCCCCATCCTGCCTAGCATGCGGTAGTGAGAATTTAGCAGCCCCAAGGCATCCCCTGGCATGCCAAGGGACTCAGTGGGGACAGAGATGAATGTGGGAAGAAGTCCTGAAGGCAGCAGGGAAGTCCGGGATTCTGGCAGAGGTCAGGGAAAGGAGTTCCCATCCCGGCAAACACAGTGGGAAAGGCAATGGACATCTCTGCTCTTGATTCTATCAGGCTGCTGGCGGGGCATTTTTGCTTCGGGGAGTATATTATGGCAAGGCCATAAATCAGCATTATACATTTGGAGCCAGCTGAAAATAACTTAGCCTGCTAACATGGTACAAGCTTGTGTATGGGAGCATGCTGATGGCATGGAGATTGCAGGGATCAGCTCCTCCCTGGAGCCCGGGGCCTTCCTGCAAGCACCAGAGCGATGGGCCCACTCAGTTCTTCCAGCTAAGCAAGGAGGACACATTCAAAACAGCAACCACTATTGCTCTGCTCACTAATATGCTCTAAAGAACCCGATATGTGTCATTTTAAACAAAATCTGTCATCAGCGTGGTGGGCACACAGCAGGACACCTGTGTTCATGTTTCCTACACAAATCGTTTATCAGCATGTAGACCTTAGCAATTTTGGGCTCTCAGGGTGCCACCTCCTCCCCACTCCAAAAAAGAAAGAAATGTATGATCTTGTGAAGCTTGTGAAACTTGCAGTGACTCAGAGAGCATGAAAAAGTCTCTCAAATTCTGCACTGAAAGTAGAAAGGACTAAAAAAATCCCTTCTTGCCCTTCAACGGGAATCACAGCATTTCATGATTAGATACCTGGAGATAAACCCAAAAGGACAGAGATCTGAGAAGGTCTAAACAAGGCAAAACTACCCCATCACACCCTTATCAGAACCCAAGCGAGCGGCTATCTTGGAGCTGGCCTCTTTCTCCGCGGGCTGGGGAAGAGCAGAGCCGGGCTGGCTCCTGCCATGGGCACAGTGGGTGCGTGGGGTCAATCTATGCCTGTGGCTCAGGATACTGCAGAACATGGGTGTGTTATTGACCTCCCCCGTAGCAATGAGCTCCCACATCAACGGGCAGCGCGGCGCCGCTGCGGAGCCCTGGCGCTGATTTCTCACACTCACCACGACGGGGATCCACGTGGCCAGCTCCTGCCCCTTGGTTGTGGCGCGCCGGAGGCTGTGGGCTGTTTGCTGGTAGGCGCGCTGGGACACGGCACTCACCAGGGCTCCGATCCGGCCCAGGGTGCTGGGGCTGCTGGGAGCACTGGGAGCCTCCGGAGCGCGGGGCTGCGCCTGGGAGGACTTCGCTGCTGACCTGCGGACACCCGTGGGCTTCTGATCTGAAGGCAGAAGACACAGGGCCAGAGGAGGGTGGTTACGTCCTGGCAGGATACAACAGCCCCGCAGCAAGGGGCTGCCCAAGGGACATTACCCCCCCATGGAAACACTGGCAATTGCATCCGAGCAGCAAGAGCCAGGAACCCATGTGCTTGGACAGTCTCATTCCCTCCATTTCCTTTTATCTGCCCAAGCGTGTTTTCCTGCTAATTCCCAAGAGATTATGAGGCAGTAAATTGTCCAAAGTGGATTCACTGCCCTCCCTCCCCACCAACACACACATTTCCCATGAACTCACCAGAGGCAGCAGCTTTGCGGGAGGCAGGACTACCTGCTTCTTCGTCCTCTTCTGGGAGGAGATACTCCATCAGCTTCTCCAGCCCTCCCAGCGCCGTGTCCACCCCTGCGGCTGCCATCTGGCTCACCGAGTTGCTCCTTGTATACCTTGCCGTGGTCTGGACTGTGCTCCTGGTCCTGTCATAACCCTCTGCCGCCATCTCCATGACCTTGTCCACGGTGCTGGAAATGGAGTTTCTGGCGCTTTGGAGCGGGTAGGAGATGGTGTCCTTCAGGTCATACGCAAGCTGCAGGTGCGGAGACGGAGAAGAGCCCTGCCAGGGTGCTCCGGACAGGGTGGATGAGCCAGAGGGACTCGTGGGGACCATGGCCATGGCTGCGCATGCAGATGGCTTCGAGGCAGCCCCAAGACGGGGGTTACCTCTCACTACAGCCTGGGCTGAAGGCAGCTGGCAGGGATGGGGCACAGACTGCTCTGCGAGTGACTCCAGCCGCTCTCTGACTAGAGGTGCCTCTACAGGAGCCCCGCTGCCAGGACTGCCCTGTTCTTCCTGACAGCCCATCATCATCGACTTATAGTCAGATTTGGAGTCAGGAGAAAAGGAAAATGGAGTGTGTCCTGGAAGAGGAGTAATGGTGGCTCTGCAGAGGGACCAGACTGTCACTCACCTTATCCACTGGGTACTGGAGGGCTGGGATCTTCTCCTGCAGGTGGTCCAAGCCCCGGCAAGCCAGGTCGTTGGCAACAGCAACTGCCTTGGGCAAAAGCGTGAAGATTGGGTTGGTAAGCAAGTGCCTGGAAAAGTGCCTAGGATGCAGAGGGGGCATGTCCTGACAGCCCCTGGCTTGTGCTGAGGGGTCAGCATGCCAGTGCAAGTGATGTCTTCAGCAGAAGACATCATGCAAAGCCCCAGCCCTCTAATGGCAGCCTCGGTGCCTTCCCACACCATGTAGGAGCCTTGCTCTGTTTGACTTCTCCTGGGGCTGCCTGAACTGAGGCCAGCACCACTCACATCCCTGCCCTTGCAGTACCTGGAGAGCGAAGCGGGGCAGGCCTCGGCCAGGGAGACCTTGCTATTATCCTTGTCCACAGAGGACAGTGCAGCAGGTGCTGGGGAAGGTGCCCAGCCAGGAGCTGGCACATGGCTCGCAGCCTAGGGCCACTTTGCTGCCGTAGCATCACAGCCCACGGTGGGTTCCGTGCTGGGAAACAGCGTGTAGGTGTGTGCAGGGCATTGCACTTCTCACCTGGGAGCCCTTCCCTGGGGTGCAGGGCCTAGTGGGGTACTTGGAGGCTCGGGGTGAGAGCAGGTTTGCCCCGGTGCAGCCCCACTGCAGAGCAGCATTTGGCCCCGGGCCGCGGCAGCGCCCGGCAGACTCACGCTGCGGCTCCAGCCTGCGCACCACCGGCTCCACGCTCCACATGGCCAGCGCGCCAGCGCCCTGCACGCCCCTCTCGTAGACGTCGCACACGGAGGCCACGAGCGGATGGGCCTCCTTGGTGCTGGCGTAGGTCCGCTGCAGGCTCTCGCAGGTCGAGCTCACCACGGGCAGCTGCAGGACCCTCTGCAGCACGTTCTCCTGCACACCGCAGGCCGGGGGCAGTTAGGAGTCAGCCAACAACCACTATTCCCTGAGAAACGCCCAATCATCTGGACGTTGGTGTCGCTTGGCTTGTTGCCAGGACCACGGAGCATTTCTTGAACCCCAGCTACCACCTCACAGCTCCCCAGATGTCCTGTATCAGCTCTGAGCTGCTCAGGGAAGTAGAGGGATGGAAGATGTCACTAGAGAAGGTCTCCCATCTACCTTGCCTATCCCATAATCTTGGAGACCAGGCTGGCTGCTGCTGAAGGAGCAGGACTGCCATAGACAAGAGTTGGACAGGGAGACATTCCCCATTCCTCCCGTCTTCCCAAAACAGCCAGGTTGATTGTCCAGGCTCTCCCTCCAGCTTTCCACCCTGCTCTGCTGCTTCTCCCCTCTGACCCAGCCATTGCTCCTGTGCTTTTATCCAAGTCCATTTTGCCTACGCAGCTGAAAACTGTCACCTGTCCTGTCCATGCTGTCACCAGAGGGACAGGAAAGGCCCACAGACCTCACACAGTAGAAAGGGAGAGGAGCAGGTCTACCTGCGATGGTACAGAGGGCTTTGGTGAGAGTCATGGCTAGAAGAAGAGCTCAGCAGACCTCTCAAAGACCTAATCACGACTAGATGAGAGGCTGAGTTTGGATAATGTCCTGCTTGCAACTGCAGCGGGACTGTGAATCCCCATGTTTGATAATAACAGTATTTGCTGCTACTTTTGGCTTGAACCAGAGCCAGCACTCTCACAAAGGCCACATTAAGCACCCCCAGGGCTCTAGTTGTTCAGAGATGTGTTGCATTCTCAGCAGCATGACAGCTGAAGCTTGATGCTCCCAAAAGGAGGCAAAGATAAGGGAGTAGCACTGCTGCTGGGGGTCACTGAGGGCTCCTATCAGGTTGGAGTTAACTCTATTCCAAACTGCTTAATTTCAGTCTTCCTAAAGATTATTCTGCTCTCATTTGATGGATGCTCTATATTATTGCCAGTTCAGATCTGGGTAAAGATAACACAGCGACACAAGAAACAGCACCAGGCAGGAGTAAATCATCTACAACAGCCAGCATGAAGCAGCTGCCGCTTCCCACACACTTCTGCCCTTTCCTCTCTCGCTCCTTCCCGCACTTACCTTGGCACTTCCACCTGGCAAAGCCGGATTCTTCTTTGCCGTCATTGCGACACGTCCTGCAAAGCAAGGGTCAGCGCTGCAGACCACGCTGGCAGGCAGGGCAGGACACGGCCTCGCGGCGCTCGTTCCTGCCGCCTGCCCAGGCTGCGCTGAGACACGCGGCTCCCACGGGTGCAGTGGCTGGGGCATTGCCTCATGCCTGACTCTTCACCAGCTAAGCTGTTGACTCCACACAAATCACAAACGCCCTACAAAAAAGGGGCTAAGAGGCATCTAGTTTGGAAGTGCTAAATCTCCTGCTCTAACAGGGCAGAATAAAATGTACTGGCAAAGCTGAAGGGAAAAGTCAGGGCAACAAGGATTGGGAAATACTAATGCATTTGCATGGAAAATATGTGGATAAAGAGCCAGAATGACAGATGCAAGTGAAAACTGAAAGAGGTTAAGAAGTGAGGATGGAAGCAGTGAGCTGACAAGCTGCAGTTGGAATGCAGGGCTGTGTGAGACCAAGGCAGTGTGAACCCCTGCCCGCGTCCGCAGCTCCCACCCTGGGGCTGCTCTGTGCCTGCAGCACAGCAGGGTCTGCAACTCTCCTGTGAGCCCAGGACAACCCCAGCTGGAGATGCCTTGCTGCAAAACACCCATTTCCATGGTCCCAGCTCAGCGCCACCCAGCTGCACTCCTCTAGCTCCCACCTTCACACCACAGACTTGCTCTTCTCTGCAGGAGCCAACGCAGGCGCTGTGGGCAGAGCAGGCAGCCCCCGTCCTCGTCCCCAGGCCCGTTGCAGCCGTCCCTCGGTGCAGCAGCACTCACCGTGCGCGGAGCAGAGCGGAGTGTGGTGGCCGCGCGGCTCCTCCGGCGCAGATGTGCGATGCTCCAGGCAGGAGCAGGCGAGGCCCCACCTCCCTGCCCCTTGCATGGGCTTGGAGCTGGGGGGTTGCTGTGGAAACTGGGCAAACAGCCCCCCGGAGCCGGGCTGCTTCAGAACAGCCAACTGCAAAAAATCCCCTTTGTCCCGCTCGCGGGGGAGCCCAGAAGCTGAGACATAACTGGGAGGTATTTGAGTGTAATGCCACTCCACCAAGTAACAGGAAGAGAAGTTATCCTTGGACCTCATCTCACAAGCAACAGAACATGCAGGGCAGGCAGACGGAGGCAAAAGCATTCAGACAGCAGCAGTTTTCCCCACAGATCTGAGTCTAGATAGCAGTGCAAATGGGTGCAGAAGAGATAACAGCCTTTCTGGATTTCCCTAGCACCTACAATCTCCAGTAACGGAGCATGGACATGTTGCACTAGTAAATGCAACACAGAAAAAGAACGTAGTTCCTACCCAGAAGAGTTTATCCACAAGGAACAGGAGACAAACTTATAGGAAAGACACTGGGACATTGAGACCATGCACTTAGCTGTTGCCTCACCTCTTCAACGGCTTGATCCTTGCCAGGCTTGCATGGACACACCTGCAAAAATGAGGATTTCCAAGCATGGCCAACTATAAACAAGGCAGTTTCAGGTCATGCAAGAGGTGATAAAAAGGGGTTCTCAGACCAGTCTAAAAAAATCCACTGATGATTTTGGCAAGGAGGCTGTTAGCTGAGTATTGGGGAGATCCTCATCTTTCCAGGACCTAGTTTGCTGCTAAGCCACATTCATGTTAAAGGATTTTTTCCTTTGTGTCCAACTGGACGTTGCTCTATCGCAAATTGTGCCCACCACCTTGACTCTCTTCTACCTCTGAGAAAAGTTTGTGATCCAGCCTGTGCTTGTATGACAGGTGCTCCATACCCCTAAACATTTTCCCCCTAGTAATCTTCTGCTGGACTCTCCCTAGATTGTCAACATCTTTACTGGGGTGCGAAGAGGGACAAAACAGGACCCAGTGCTCTGTATGTGGCCTCACAAGTGCAGCGCAGAGAGGATGAATCACCACCCTTGACCCGCTGGCTGTGCTCTTGCTAATGCTGCTCCTTAGCCTTCTTTGCTGCAAGGGCACCTGCTGAGTGACATCACACATTGCAAAACAGCGTGTCCTATTGACTGAAAAGAAACAGAAAACTAGTTTGAGTTGTGATGCGCTTGGTTATCGACTAAAGAGATCAAGGCCACTTTTACTCCACTAGGGAAGAGCTGCGCTGATATGACTTGGACAGCATGCTGGAAAGAGCAGAGCCAAAGGACAAAGAAATAACCCAAAGGGATCTGCAAAGATGAGAGATGCAGGTAGCAGTTGTGTTGCCTCTTGGCACAAGACTTCTGAGTGTCCCCAGGTGCTCAGCACAGCACGAGTAAGGGAGACCTTGGTGTTGGGCTGCCCACATTGAGCCTCAGGGAAGGAGCAGGCAGGACACAGCCCCTGAACACCCCAGGAGGGTAACGCGGTGGCACTCACAGCACATGGGCTTCCTGCTCCTGGCCTCCCCATGGGGTAGGAAAGCCATGCAAGGGAGGAAACTATCTCCTTCCCTCCAGCCTTTGGAGATGGTTTGCAGCTCCGCAGAACTCGCAGGACAGCGAGCTGGGCTGGTCCCATAGAGGGACACACTGCCAGGTAGGGGAAAAGCAGCGACCGTCCCTGCTCCATGGAGCATGAGTCACCGCTCTGCAGACAGCGGGACAAAGGGCAGCAGCCCGCTCAGAAGTTCACCACGGGCTCTTTTTACGCTGAAGCTTGTGCCAGCTTTGCTGGCCTTGGCAAAAATGCCATTTATCTCGCTTTCTCTGCCTTAGCTTAGTTGGAATTAACAGCCAGCATAGCCTTTGCCTTACTAACCTCAGCTCAACCCTCCCCTTCCTGGGGGCAAAGGCCTTGCCAGCCCCGCACTGCAGTGCAAAGGTATCGAGCCAGCTCTGCTGCCCACTGCGCTCCCCGGAGCCCTGCGTCCCTGCAGGCGAGATCCAGAGCTCCCTGCATCAGCGATGGGAAGGGGAGCCCAACTTTTACATGCTTCCCTCGGCAGTCTGCTCTATGCCCACTAACATGCTATGGTGAAGGGACCAGCCAGATGCCCCAAAACATGCAAAATAGCCTTACACGTAGGTCTGGAAGGTGTCTGGGGACGCTAATGCATTCCCACGCCCTATGGCAGGATCAGCACCCCCAAGCACTGCTAGTAAGTGTCTGCCCAGTTTCTTTTTAAGCACTGCCTTTCTAGACAATCCATTTAATGATTCCATTTACTTACACTTCGAAAAAAAAATCTCCTGTGTAATTTAATTGTGCTTTGATGCAATATAACTATTGCCCCATGGATGGATTTAGAGATCAATTTATTATCTTCCTCTTGCAGACAACCTTTCACTCACCTTCCCTCAGTCACCTTTCCTCTGCAAAGCTGGTTCACTGGATTCCTCTCAGAGACACTGGTTTTCAGAGCTTTGACTGTTCCTGCTGCTCACCTGTGAGTTCTGAAATCTACACATATTTCTTTAAAAATTATGCCACGTACAGTATTACAGGCCTTGTCTGTGTCTGTAAGTAGAGTACAAGGATTACCTTGTATGTCTCACATGTTTATTGTTCCTATTACACCATGTACATGAGACCAGTAATTCAGAAGGAGAAATTCTTGCTAATTGTCACTGAACACAGTGCTTTACGTATTTTTCAGGAAAAGCCATTTTAGAGTTCCCTGGCTCTCAAAACTGTTGCTGCAAGGGATGGAAGTTAGCAGTAAGCTACCAGCAAGAGCCAGTTTTGATGGTTATCCCCGTTCCATCACACCCCTTCCCACTGGGGACGTTATCCTTCAATCCTTGACATAACAGACAGTCACTGTTAATCAGTGTTAGTGATTCACCCTCCAATAGTGAGACTCATGGAAGCAAAAGGCTGTTTACAAGACAGGTTTACAACGCAGGTGCATTTCAGGGTGGCTTTGCTTGTGCTGGGCAGAGGGCTCCAGCTCTCCTTGCTTGCACGCAAGGGCAGCTCATGGCAATGCTCAAAATGTCTCTTTCCTTCAGTGCATTTCACATGCAATGTTACGAGGTACTCACATAACACACTCCCAGTGTTTTTGTAATAGAACTGAGACCTGGCTGCTGTGAAAGGAAAGCTCTATAACCCAGTGTGAATAGAGCCAATGTCTCTTTAGCAACATCATCCTTCATAAAATTCAGAGATGTAAGGAGGATTCCACTTTTGCCATCTCTTTTCCATGCCCGCTTAAGTCACACACAGACACAGTGCCATACTCATATGAGTTTATTGCTGTACTCAAACAGCCATGGTTATCACAACTGTTGTATTAGAGGGAGATACAAAGAAAAGGCACTGAAAGGATTCTCTCCTTTTGATTGCGATTCTATTGCTTCAGTCACATAACATTAAGGTACATTAAATCGACAGCCTCCAGCTGTGGAGCAGAAACACGATTATTAGTGTCTAACACCCAGTAAAAAAGAGCTACTCTTGTATGTTCCAACCTGTGTAATGAAAAATGGCTGAAAATTCACTGGCCCAACTCTAAGGTCAGGTCCACTCCAGTCTCTACCATAGAAATATCAAAGGCTGGCTCAGGGCTTGCACTGTGTTTGCCCAACAGCAGGGAACACAGCACACTTCTTCCTGCACAGTAGGGAGGGTATCTAGCCAGGGGCCACCTCAGTCTTTTAATCCATTTCCCTTTATCTACAAGCAACAAAGGAAAATAATAATAAAAAAGATCATTTGGCAAACCAATGACATATTCTGTATGTGAGCGCTCCCCTGTAAAGAATTCATAATGCAGTTTTCTGCAAGAAGGTGAAATTCTGCAGACAGAGGGTGGCCAAGCCTCCATTGCTAGATCACCAAGGCTCCTCTTGCCCCTTCACAGCAGCTACTGCACACTGGGCTCATGATCAAACTCTGGCCGAGGAAGGGATGGATGGTCCGCCCAGTGCCAGGAGCTCAAAGGCAAATGGAGTAAAGAACAACAACAACAACAACACCAACAATCTACTTTTAAAAAGGAGAGGAAGCCCTTGAAGGCAGCATAGCCCATCACATAACGCTCCAGTCCGAACTGGCAGCACACTCTGCTTTTAGTGGAGCTCATTTCCATATTAAAAAGAGGAGCTCCTGTGGGCCGCATTTGGTTTTCAGGCACACTTAATTATCCTGCCCAGCAAGCTCTTCTTTCAAACACTTGGCTGGTTGGCTAACCCTTCAGATTCAAAATAATTCCAAGCATGACCACAGTGATTTAAGGTAAACTACAGCACTGTAATACTATGGTCTCCTTTTGATGAAAGAGTGGCATCTTTTAATTTCTGCTTACAGACAGAGTCAGAAGTAACAAGAAAGCACCTTGGTCTTGGTTAGAGTAATTTCTGATCATATCCCTTGGTAAATTAAAAAAAGGAGTCCTTGGATCAGAAAGCAGCAGAACACACTGACCTAGCTCTGATGAAGAAAAGTGATAATTTGGCTCCTACATGATCAGATTTTTTTCAGTTGCTGTTGGAACTAAGTGAAGTTAGGAAAACAAGGACTGCATGTCATGCAACTGTTAGACAGCAGGACACAGCATTTCTCCTATAACCTAGACCAAACGGCCAGGCAATCATCCCAAGATTGGTAAGTGATGAGTAAAAGCACAGTTGTAGGGCAGACCTGAGGCTTTTATAAATGGTAGAACCCATTCGAACAGTGAGCACACACACAAGGAGTCTTGTGGCCACGACAGAGGAGGATAGAGAAGATCACATAGTAATACCTGAAACATGAATGCCCAAATCCAGAGAATAAGCTTCTCTTCTCATAGAGGGCTCTGATAGTCTCAAGTCTAATTCCATTCCCTTCCCTCTAGGAACTTACACAACTGGAAACATGGCCTTGCAGTCCTTCCAACTCAACAAACTTTGAGGCAGCCTTCTCTCCTTAACTGCAGGTTCCAAAGCTCCTAATTATACTGGAATTTCTCAAGTAAAATGAAAACAAGCCAGGTTATTTACTACAGTGTGATTAATGGAAATGAGCTGCACTTGGAATCCCTGGGCTTGGAAGCTAAGCTGTGTGTATAATGGGAAATTCAGTGCTAGTGAGTGGTTCCAGATCCACAACTGTAGAAACCCTGCAAATCATAGTATTATCAAAACTGAGACAAGTTTCTCCCATACACTGTCCTTCAGCAATGCCCTCATTCATGGCCTGCTGGAGAATTCAGAGTCCTTAGTCCACATTTGCAAAGGAAAAGAAGGTGCTGGTTTCCTGAAGCACAAACTGGCACTCGCTGGACTATGGATCCAGTACCACCAATGCGTGTCACACAGGGATAACTGAAAGGTTCAACAACATTTTGGTTCCAATCACAGCGGATTCAAACCACTGCCTACAGATGACAGAATCTATCAGTCCAAACCAGTGTACTCACATAGTATTTAAGACATTTTAATCACAGTTCCTAACTTGCCTGAGCACCCTAAGAAATTTGATTGTAGGCACCTTTGATTGGTGAATTCTACCTTTCCAGTGTAAACAGGATTAGTTGTGAGTCATAAACCCATTAGGGTTTTCAGTGCTGCTATTTCATGACCCTACATTAAAATATGGGAACATTAATATTTCCTTATCCAGCAGCTATATTCCTCTAGTGGCCATGTTCCAAGGCCTGTTTCCGATTGCAAAATATTATTCTGTTTTCTCCCAATTCCACTCCCTCATGGAATGCGTCACAGCACCCAACTCATCTGCAAAGATATAGGGTAGAATTCACTTATTCAGAGGGCAAGCCTCATCTTGAGAGTACTGTGAGATACCTTCATTTTAAAGTGCTATATGGGAATAAAATCTGACAGTGAATCAAAGTTATTGGCTCATTGCACACTACGTGGCTCCTTTTATGTCACTGTTTCAGTTTCAGGTGTGGGCTTGCTAGCGTGAGGATCCCCACCAGAGAGGAGACGAGGCCACAAAAACCAATCACTCCTGAATTGGTTTTGTAGATTCCTAGTGTATCCAAAGGACCAGAGAGATCACACAGGTTCTTCACCATGTCTAGCAGCAAAGGAGGATGTCTTTTCAATATCTGAAACAGCAGGAGGAGAAAAGATGGTAAGCTGTCAGCTTTCCAGCAGTTGAGTTCCTGATCTTCTTTGTCCCAGGAAGAATTTTCTTTCATCCTTTTTTTCAGGATCGCTTCCTCCAACCTCCAGTAGATTTCGTACCAGTCTCTGGCGAGATTCATCAGCAGTGAAAAGTAGTAAAACTTGGTAGCCCAATTGTGCCACTTCTGCTTATCGGCGTCGGGCTGGAGACCAACACTCCTGAGCCACAGGACTCCGTCGCAGACGAAGTACAGGGCCCGGGTCACGTTGGAAGCGGTAAGGCAGAAGCGAGGAACCACATCTGGCAACTGCGCGGTTCTCCGGGCTGCCACCATGGCGTGCACCATATTACCCAGTCTGAACACTGCAAGAAACCCCACAGATGTTAGAATGACCTGCCCTGTACCACGCACAGAGACACAGCCCTACGTAGGAGGACTCTGCACATCACTGCCCACATACACTTCCCAAGAACTTGTCAGTCTTTGGGAATTTGTAAATTTAAGTAAGCGTCTTCTCTTTGGGCAAATTGTGAGCTCACAATGTGAGAAACTAGTTTTTGTAAGGAAAGGGATGCAAATATCTCAGCAGCCCAGGACCTACAGACAACTCTCAATAGCAGGTCCTGCAACCTTTTGTCACTCTGCCATGACCAACTGCCCCGAACAAGGCAGTGCCAGCAAGAGAGCGACACAAACATTTCTAGGCTTCTCTCAAGGCTGATTATTCATTCACTTGCAGATCAAAGTGAGTCTTTCCTCACTCATTAATTTTTCAGAGGTACATACAGTTCTCTGCAAGCAAGAACAGCATAATTCATTTTATACCTATTTATATAGATGTATATGTTGTATACTATATAACAAGCTTGATTTCATCCTCTGTGCTGTTTGGATTTCACTCCATGAATGTTAATACAGCATCAGATGAGTTACGTTTCATAAGCTGCTGCATTGTAACAATGACAAATGTAGCAGTATCACATTTAATGTAGTTACAATTACATTACATTTTCAGGCCTGAATTTAGACCTGAAGTCCGTTAGAGATTTCTTTATCATAAGCAAGAAAATTACCCGCATGGTGATAATACAGCTAGAAACTATCACACGCCATAGTTAATTAGAATAATAAAGCAAATGCAAGGTAACATATTAAATTAGAATATATGCCTTACATACTAGAATTGTGTTAGAAATGATTAATTGATAGGCAGTGTAAGATTAATCCGAGAGCATGCAGTATAATTGTAGCAACAACATAACAATAATGGATGCAGTTGTGACAGAGAGTGGAATAGTATGGCCAGATCATAAGAAAAGTACAAAAGAGTACCTAATTTGGTAGAATATAAGGGCTGAAGAAAATTAATATGTAAAGTAAGCTATAAAAACCCATATGGAAGGGGGGTCCCTCTGAGGTGATTTTCTTGGACTGACGGTCCTTAACATTTGACTGTCTCAACGCATTGGCCAGAAGGTCTCGCAAGCTGCAATAAGCCAGCCTGGTATCACAACCCTCCGCTCTGCCCTTCCTCAGAAATGAGAACTTTGGTTTCTGCAGCAAGAGCTGACTGTTAACTTGCTTCTCTGGTTCTTCCAGCGATATTTTCATATTGTCTCATCAGGCAGGAGGCTAAAGAGATGAAAAATGCCTAGATGGCCGTACCTATTCGGAGAAGCCAGCGCAGGAGAAAGGTCTGTTGGCCATTCAGGGAGCATGTGAAATAGCTCCAGGCAAGCTGAATACCCCAAACACGGGTTTAGTGGTTATTGAGATGGAAGAAACAGGTGAGGAAGAGCTGTCCCCCCTGACATGGGTACTTACTTTTACGGCCAGAGCTCATGCTAGACTCCAACTGCTTGAGTTTCATTACCAGCTTCTCCTTATCAGCCTTATGCTCTAACAAATAGCTAAGCAACATGCATGAGTACTGAGTGGCTCTGGAATGGAAAAAGAAAATGAGGAAAACGGTTCACAGGTGCAACATGGGCAACACGGAGCAGCGCGAGCGGGGCCGGGCACGTCGGCGGGCCCCGGGACACGCAGGAGCCGGGCGAGGAGCGCGGGGCGCCCGGGGGACACAGCGGGGTCGGGGCGGCCCCGCGGGCGGCGCGTCCCGGCCAAGGGGG